GAATTGTCGTCCTGCTGATGTTGGCATCGGTGATCTTGACGAGAGGGTTGAGATACTCGAATATCCTGCGTAGCCTTCCTTGTTCACAGACACGGAAGGAGTGGTTTTCTTCGACGATCCACTCAAGCAGGAGGCGCTGGAAGTGCTTCCGGTCGAAGCCCTGAACAAGGCTGTTTGCAATGTCTTGCTCCCGTGGAAGTCGTGTATCGAGCTTCATCACTTCAGCAATGGATCTCTGTTTGGCCTTTACCTTCTCCGCTCTCTTCTGAGCCGATGACTTCGTTCCCTCGTCAGGAGCACATATGCCGTGGTCTCTGAATAGATGGGCATTTGCGTTCTGGATACCCTTCTCCGCGAAACTTCGTTGTCGTGGGCTCTTAATCCGGACGCAGGGTTTGCAGACCCATCGGCGGTTGCCGTCAAAATTCTGTACATCATAACCAAAATCCCATACCCAAGAAGATGTATCGCGCACGCGCTGCGACCATGTGTGGTCTGGGAAACAGCGCCAGAGGTATTGATGCTCCGGGTCTGGAAGCGGCGTAGCTGACCGCGAGCTCGGTGCAGGTGTTGCTAGGAAACTCAACAGCGGTGTCGTTGGACAATGGGACAATTCAGTTTCATCCTTGCTCGGCGAGTCGGACTGCGTTTTCGACTTAGTGTTGTACTATAGATACGCGTGCTCGGAAGAGCGCGTTCAGGTGGCGTTAGCGTACACGAATCTGCTTGGTTGGGTTTAGCGCCGGCAGAATGGGGGAGCAGCCCCGTCTCGCGTGGTGCATCAGCGCTGGGTCTGTAACAGCTATCGTACCCTAGATCAACGACGTCAACAGCTCAATCCACGGGTTGGTGATATGGATTGACGTATTATGTAATCGAACGTGATATTGATTGAGTTGAGTGGACGCTAGTGGTCAATTTCGTCAACCCGGTTGAATTACGTTGAGTGGTGTGCAACCTTGGGCCGGGGCCGGGGCGGCGGCGGCGGCGGCACTAACTACCCACAACATGGCAAAACACGCCCAGTATATATTTCACAATTAAACGCGTACTTAACGTAAATATAAAATGAAAGCTTGATGGCGCGGCCCGCAAAAAGCAACTACGCGCAGCGGGTACTCTTGGCTGAGGCAGGCTCTCGACATTGATTGGTCGTGGCTATGGATGGGGGGCACATTCAAATAATCAGATATCCAAAGAATTCTGGGCTTTGCGATTTGATTTGATTTGATTTGAATAAATTTGATTTGATTTGATTTGGTTAGATTCGGATCTGATTTATCTATTTGAAAGTCTGAAAATATTATTGTGAGCGGCCAGCATTCAAAAGCTGGCGAGCCTCATCTGGAATGTCAATATCTTTGAGCGATATAAACCTTATCAGCACAGAGACACCCACATCAGCCATCGGCAATTTTTTTGCTATGCTAGTGAGGAGTTGGCACACCTGCACAAAGGACTCTCCCTGTAGGCACATCGATTGAGGATGAACTAGCATAGCCATAGCTGCAACCTGACAGGCGTACAGTGTCCAGTACTCGTGCCGCATCCCAAATGCGGCTCTGTAGTTCCAGAGTGTCGACACGATGGCATTACTATTCACCAAGGAGAGCGATGCTGCTGTCTGTCCACCTTCGAAGCTGAGAAAGGATAGTTGGACGAAGGGTTCAAGTAGCCTAATGCTCGTTGTATAGTAGGACAGGCTATGTATGAAGGTCAATAATTCAAGTCTAATAACAATTTGGAGGGTCCTCAGATAACGAGGTAGGGGGTAGACAGAGGTTTCTTACAAGAGAAACATTCGTCGCGGGAGGTGATGGCCATCACCTTTGACCATCTCACCCATCAGCACCTTTGCTTTAATCATCCGGTATGACAGATCCTTGGTGCTACTGTAATCCGGGACGACACATGCCCGGTTCGCTGATATTTGAAGCAACGCCTCCCTCGCCAGCTCGGCAAAGGCACAGTCGGCAACGAAGGCCTCTGAAGAGTATGACGAACAGGAAGGCGACGAAAGCGGATAAGGGAGCCACAGCCTGCGATGCGAGTCGGCTCCATCGCTTATTTTTTCTGCCAACAGCGGCTTCCGAAGCACCATCTGCCGATCAAGCAATAGTCCGAGTTTGCTAGAGACGTGTTAGGTATGCCGATTGCCCCGTGGTAATGATCATAGAACAACAGCTGCTTACGCGTCGAGACAGTAGAAGCCCCAAGAAATATAAGCTATGGCTGTTCTTGTGTCTTGCGCACGCAAGGACGCAGTATTGCCGTTTGGTAAAGGACAAGCTGCTAGCCATTCCATAGGAGAGGGTAGCAGATGGAGTTTCTCCAAAAGATAGCTGGCGGTGGCCGTTTCGCCAATACTTAACTTATAAACTGCTAATATAGCGGTGCCTTGCAGAAAGGGTAGAGAGGGCTTTATTTCTTCGAATTCGAGCAAACGGAGGGCTTCATCAGCGAAGACGCGCCCTGTCGGGGTTATGCAAAGGTCGCTCTGGAGAACATAAATCTGGATGTCTCGGATAGCGTACATTAGCGACAGCTTGCGATTGTAGTATCGAGGTAACGAACAGTAGAAAGGGCTAAAATTGAGTTGATGAGATATTCTGAGCAGAATTCAATTTGGCCTGCCTCTTTGAGGGTGGCTACGCCGTCAAGTCCAGTACGCATGTCTTCCGCGAGCATGGCCTCGTGAATGATTTTGGTGAGAGTATTGTCCCAGGTCCAAAAGAGCGTATATAGGTACGCAAGCACTTCATCATTCATGCTAATACTCGTCCATAGAGAGATCGGCAGCCTAGTTTCAATAGCAGTTTCCGAGTCATGCCTGTCTGTTATTGAACTGCAGCTTGCCTCTTCGGGCGCGACGGCGGTGTTTGAAGCACTGCGCCCGGCACGGGGTGGAGGGGCATCTGTATGGCCACTGGTGATAGTCCGCACCAAATCAAGCGCTTCCTCTACTGTAGGTAGTGCCCGTATCGAGCCGAGTAGATTGACAACCTCTGGCTCACCCATACTGCGAAATTCTGTCACGACATCATGGAGTCTCTGATGTTCGGCTATCGTCGTTTTTTGCTTTCGGATCGATGTCTTGGGCTCCGAGTACTTGCAGCCCAGGCCAGCGTGCTGACAGTTATGACAATACGGCCGCTTGCCATCACACTGATGAGCGTCAGCGACAAAACTTCATCTACAACCCTATTTAGGTTTCGTAATCGTGCTGTTACCGACCCGGACTTTTCGCTGTCGGCACCCTGCAAGGACACGGTAAGCAGGTTTGATAAACAAATTTCACTACTTAAGGGATGGTGGATTATATTTACGGTCACACGCCGTTGGCACGGCTTTTCTAATCCGTCTTGGGAGTGCATGCACCGGCACCGGCGCCACATCGTTCATTGCAGACTTGGGTAGAAGGTAGCGAGCTTGGCTGGATGCCATACTCTCTGTGTCGACCGGAAAGTTGATTTGGGAAAGACCGTGGTTGCGCAGAAAATGATGGCAAAATACGAAACCGAGTAGCGCGGGAGCTCCAGTGATGATGCAAGAAAGAGGTAAGCACGTGACAAAACAGGCAACTTGTAGAAATAGCGTGGACAAGTATCCATTTGGCACAAACATGTTCTGCGGGATACACAGCATTGTCACCAATGCCTCCCGTAGTCGTCTGCGTGGCCCCGATAGCCTGCGGGAGTCAGCGTTACCTCATATCGCGGCGTATCCCTTACCGTAAGCCGTAAGCAAGGCTGAACCTGAAATTTGCCACTGATCATGGTTGGATGTCGTGCATGACGATGCACCTCCTGGCGTCAGGCGTTTGAATATGCTAAGACTGTGGCCGTGACTGTACCCATTTGACGAGGAAACGCCTGTGCATGTCAGGTACGCGTCGTGCAATATAATTGCACGCTGAAATTTACTGATAGTTCGCATTTTGTCAGTTCAGGAGCCCCCGATTCCCCATAGGAGCCGTGTTCCTTAACAACAGTAATGTGAAGGACGGAATTGCAGTGGAGCCCACCGCCTTTGCCGTTCTCCCAGGGCGCTATGCCACACGCATCCGAGTATGACGCGCCGTTGACGAGGTGTAACAACTGACATCCTCCCGAGTGGCAACTAAATAGTCGCATCTAAACATGAACACCCCAGGGCGGGAGCATCATCCGACGGCTTCCTGGCTGGAAAAGGCATTCGTGTAATCCACAACCATGGCAGTATCCTCAAATGCCTCGGCTTGCGCCTCTGCCTTGGCCGCGTTTGGGTCAGACATTGCCAAGTCCAAATCCAACATAAAAGTAGCGCGGATCTCGCCATGATGCAATGCCTCCGGACAATTGTTGCCTAGATCGACCAAGATTTGTCGTGCTTTATCACTCGATATACCGCCCCTGCGCATTGCCATCGACAACAGCCCTCTGGCGATAGGCTTGACTATAGGGTACGATGTCCACAGGCTCTGATATCCATACAGGCAGAGCAGGAAGTAGGAAAGCCAACCTTCACCCCGACTGCGGAGTACAGCATTAGCTACATACAACATAGCTGTATGCCAAATAATGGTGTGTCCAGAAGAAACATATTGGGAGCGGTAGATGATGATAAGCCTCTTGAGCTGCTCCACCGAGGCTGCATATATCGTGTCCGCATTCGTCCTTGAGTGACGAGGGTGATTTGGTCGATGCGCATCCGGAACTGCTTCCAAAAAGGGCCGAAATATATCGAGTATAGCTGCATGGAGCCATAAACTTTACCCAATTAGCACGGCCCAGCTGGGTTACACATATATCGCAATGAAAGAGCACTGGCACTCAGCCGTCCGTCCAGACTTACTGAAAAATAACCACATGGTGCGGATTGTCCTCGTTCCGTGTCAACACCAACGGTAAACGGTTCATCAGTTCCATCAGGCCCTGAAACGTATCCTCAGCAAATTGAACCGGTACGCGGCCGGAAATGGCCCCTGCCTCTCCGTTGTAGTAGACAATGGCCACCTCGTGCATTTTTCTCCATAACTCGCAAAACAAAACAAAGGACTCGTCACAGTATTCGGACAAGTCCGAAATTGTTGTATCCAACCGGTGTGCGTTGTCGCTTCTTCTTGCTTTGCAAGGAATCGGAAGGTTTGGGGGCGTAGCAGGATACTCCACACCAGGTTGGTGGTAAAATAAGCCCAGCAGCCTAGAGTTATCGGTTCAGTTAGCAGGGCGTAAAAGCTTGGGAATCTGACTCCTGCACATACATGATCCAATTGAAGGTACCCCACGCCGAATATGCGGTAGCTCTTACCTCTCCAGGTGCTATTTTGTTTGCTGGGGACTGATTGACCTCTGATGTTTTGCCAAAAAGGCCGAGTTGTGTTCCGATCCGGGTAGCTTCAGAAAGATATGCCAAGAAGGAACGATCCCTGCCTTGCACCAAGTGACCGAAACCCAGAAACTGCGCCGATGCCATGGTCAAAACTGACGGGGCCATCTTGTCAATGTGCCACAGCCTTTCGGCCTCCGTACGAAATGCATCGACTAAGTCGCGTACCTCACTATCGATCGTGATGTACATCTGCTGGAGTTGCATTAGTTGCCAGGAGCAGCAACCTAGCTCAAGAGCCGTAGTCGGCGTACTCACACAGGCCCAGTACATGAGAGCATTTACAAGGAGAGCTGTGCAATGGGGACCCTCCGTGATAAGATCGTCAATGAAGAGCTCAGGGTCAAAAGGACACAGGGCTGGATGCTCAGTCTCCAGGTAAAATAATATGATTCGACATGCAAGATCGTTCGAAACTGGGACATTCGTCCATTTTCTGATTCTGAGTCGGCGTAGTGTATCGTATTGAAGTATCGGTATAGACGGCCGTGATTTCGCACTGAGGGACCTCGTTAGCAAGGAAAGTGTCGCGGCTCGTATGCTCGGCTTGGAGGTTCTCTCGAGGATAACAGGGTCATAGCGTAGAATGTGCTTGCCCCCAATCTGCGATCACCGACCAGACTTAGAACGCACGGTAGAGAGCAGGATGGGAATTTGTATGAACCTGACTCGGCCAGCTGCTGGAATAGACTGCTCTGCATGCAGACGTCGAGAGGGTCTAAAATCGGGTAGGCCGAGGGGTATCGATTCTCAAGATCAATTGTGCGCGAGAGGCTGTCCAACTCCGTCGTCACGGCTTGTGGGTGCCTTTCTAGCTCCGTGACTCGCCCTCGCAAGTGTGAAAGAATAAAGGAAGCATCCGTAATGTCTTTTAGTGATCTCAAGACAGTGGTAGTATCCTGAGGCGGAATCTTATTGAGCAATTGAACGGCCTCGATGAGACCGTCTCCACTACTGCCAGTCGAATTGCTTCCTGTATTGCTGCGGCTGGCACTACCTGTATTGCTCTCAGAGCTACCACTTTCCTTGTGAGGGGTTTTCGGTTCGTAGATGCATTCGACCGACCGCTGTTCGCATTCATTGCAGGCAGGCAGCCTGCCATCGCACTATTCGCTCGCTTGTTAAAACGTCGCACAGCACTTTGATGCACATGGCTGGATAGCGATGTAAGACTTACACGAATCTTCCTTCTGCGGCAAGCATCACAGGCAACTGCCACCCCGACACGTTTGCGCTTGTTGATGAGACTGGAGTTGACGGCAAGACTAGAGGATGACCCTGAACCGGAGTGGCTGCTATCAGGTATCGGCCGCAGCGGGCGATATTTTCTTGCCATGATATTGACAGCAATATCAATCCGATCCGTACATTTTGAATGGGATGAAAGCCGATGAGCCTACTCTTCACCTCTTTTCAGAGTCAGCCGCATACGATCTGTTCCCGCATTTATTAGCTAATCGAGCAAAGGTGCACGTATTATGTTGCTATTGGGTCTGCTTACGGAGTGACGCAAGTTGCGCTGCTTGAGCTTTGCATTCAGCGATGTACATGTAGAATAATACTAGATGCAGTAGTCAGTAGTGCCAGCACCTGTGTCTATCAGTCGAGAAACTGAAGTTAACTGTATGCGTTCGAAATAACTATGACTGTGTTTGTTGATCCACTCCGTAATTAGAAAACATGGGAAGACGGGGACAATTACTAGTGACTATGGCGGCCACGGCCAATTAGAGAACCCGGAGCTGGGCCCTCCGAGCCAATGATGTGTCGCTCTAAGTGGCAACCAGTGGCGAGTCCCTCGCCACTGGGCAACAGCAGGTGGCTAGGACCACCATACTCCATCGGAGGCAATTTCAAGTTCCATACTCACATGCCCGTAGGAAGCGAAAGGTACACCACGAAACTGTTTACGTTTACGCCATCTGCCTCCCTGCAAGCTTTGCC